TATGCTTGTAGCGAACCCATTAATTGCTCTATACTAATTTCTTCCAAGTTTTTAGTTTCTTCAATCGTCACGACAATGTGCTCGAACTTGGGGTCCAACGAGCGTAGTATCTTCTCCATAATTCTAACATCTTCTAACTTTTCTCCGTTTCTTTTTAATTGATTGGAAACGGCTAAGACTCTTGAGAAATAATCAGAGATTGATTCAGACCCTTTCATTTGTAGAGATTCGAACTCACCTCTTAATACTTGAAGACGAACCTTTTTCACTTGTTCGGCTCCTTTGTAAGAGGTTTGAAGCTTCTCCCATGCTTGCTTGGCAGAGGTTGCACTCGAGACCTTCTCAAAGCCATTGTCATCTAATGCTTGGTAGATGAGGTAGAGAGCCTTCTTGTCTCTCTTTCTTGAATCTTTCAAACTCTCCTTCTGGGGTTGAGACAGAGTAGCTTCATCTTCTGGCTCAGTGTAGCCTTTCTCCACGACTTCCCAGACATCGTGTGCACCCAAAAGGGCCTTCATTTTGATACTCCAATTATCGAAGTTGTTGCTGTCGAGCACTGGAACTTGGAAGGCTGCCATAGCATTGCTAGCCATAGCTCTGGTACCACTTTGTTGGGGGTTTAAAAATGCTTCACTACTTGGAGAGGTTTATCTCACAAAGAAAAATGTAACGCAACGGAATTGATAGGCAAGAGAAAGAAAGAATTCTCAAAGTATTACACAAGGTTTTTATTCACTCACAAACTTAGTACAAAAGGAAACACTCAAACACGCTTAGAAGCTTTGTTGCTTCTTCTTACTTCTTACTTGACACTCTCACTTCTTGCTACTTGCTCTCTTGGTTGTTCCAAATGGTGTGGATGCCTTCTCCTTTTATAGGCATGGATGGAACCTTGGAGAAGCATGAAAACATTATGCTAGAGATATCTAGATAATTCCACTACCTTCCTAAGCTAGAATTATCTACACTAATCTTGTATGTTGGTGGAATCCTCACCATTCTTCTAGACTCTTCCACCAACTTGAACTTTGCTAGAATTCTCTAGCATGTGCATGGATCTTTCTTTGTGTATGGGCCGGATCAATTATCTTTGGGCCAAGACAAGATTACAATTCAGCAGTATCTGCCTGGAGCTTGATTGGCTTTGACCAAAACGTTTGTGGTCTGGCCTAGTGCAATTAGTATGGCTTGAGTAGTGAAGGGTTTGGTGTAAACTGCATCGACCTCCACCACTATCAAGTTCTGTCCAGCAATGCCGAAGAAAAGTTCGTCATTGAGAGCAGCGTTGATGATTCTGAGGAGATAGGTCTTCCCTTGCTCAACCTCCATTGCAAAAGTATCTAAACCAAAGAAAATGGAACAAAATTAAATTACAATTTTTTTCAATTGTGCTTATGTTGAAGCTGAAAGTGTGATTGTGTTTATAAATTTTTTTTTTTTTTTTGGGGTTTGGAGTTAAACATTTTGGCTTTATAGGGTTTAATTTTAGCATTTCGACTATGTACAGAACGTTCTGTCCTTTTTAAAGACAGGATATGCTGAGAAAACCTCACTTATACTCTTCAATTATGATTCCATTTATTGAAACGGTTGAACATTTTAGTTGTAAAATCGTCATTTCAAGCTTAGAGATTAGGTTTAGTCTTGGTGTAGTTTTTAAAAGTAGGCTTGCTTACGTTTCTCAGAGCAAGGAAACAGTGGCCCTGGCTTTCCATTGATGGTGTGAGCATCTGAGGAGTTTGGTGGCAATCCCAATCTGGTTGCCTTGTTGACAAAGGTTTCCACATCCACATTCCACCATTCTCCAAGTAAAATCTCAGTTTCCCTATACGGCTGTGGGAATGGGAATGAAGTTCCTTGTTTAGGCATGATCACAATTGCTCCATAGACAGTAGCCCTTAGCCAAAGAATATGTGCATGCCACCACAAAGTTCCTCTTTGCCCTGTCACATTGAAGACGTATGTGTAGCTACTTCCGGTTTGGATCGGACATTGGGTCACATAAGTTGGTCCATCTGCCCAACCATTTCGGTACTGCTTCAATCCATGCCTGCAAAGAAAAGATCAAATTAAACCCTCTAAATGTTTCTGCTAAATCAACATATTTTTCTTGGAGAACCGGTAATTAGTACTTTGATACGAAAAAAGGTTGTGATAAAAAAAAATGGGTGGTTAGTATAGGTTAATTCTTACCAGTGAATTGACATATTGTATTGAGCATGGTTTGTGACATTGATTTGAAGTCTGTCACCTTCCTGGACATAGATCGTAGGCCCCGGAAATCCGCCATTTACAGTAACAATCGGTTTTGAATGGCACAATCTGCTCACTTTCTTTACTTGAACCTGTAAAAGCACAGAGATGAGGATTTAATTTATTGAATCAAAAACAATGCACGGAGTAATACTTTTTCTTCTTTGTTTTTTTCTTTGTTTCTTGTAATGCATGGAAACAACTCACATCAAACTGGTATTTCTTTATAGCAGCTTCAGCTGGAGAAGTGATTAAGCCAAGAAAACCGCAAAAAACAAAAATGAACGCGCATAGAAATCTTTTCCGGAGGCAGCTGCTAGCCATTTCGATTCTCTCGTTTGATCACAGCTTCTTAAATGTTTATGTGAAGAGGCACTGAGGCATGGAGACTAAGGTGCCAAATATTTATATGAATGTGTTGAGGCAAAATTTGCATTTGTTTTTTTAAGTTTGTTAAGGGGCTTCTGGCTCAATTAACTAATAATTAGGTAGGCATTGTGCTGGACATGAAACCTTGTAAGCAAAATTCTGAAAGGGACTCGGATTGTCCTTGACTGACTTTAAGGTTGGGATTGCTAAAACTAGGGACAAGATTTCAGATCTCAGAAACTTCAGATTTGTAAAATGGATAAAGGATGTATTTTGACAGGAACAGTTTTTTTTTTTTAATACATGTACAGTGTACGCCGACCAAAACCCTAAATGCAGTGCCAATCTTTACTGTTAAGGGAAAGGCATAGCTTAATGAATATGGTAATGGTACTGCTAAAGGGTTCTTGACGAGGGAGACTCACGGGCATGCACATGACATGTCACGTTTGTTTAAGTCAATCACTTACCATTATGTGTCATTTTTATAAATTAAACATTTGAATTCTCTCATGCAGTCGTAAATAGCTCACGTGGCACTGCATACAATGTGATTAACTTGAGGCACTGATGCGATAGACAAGTTAATTACTCTCTTAATTATTTGCCATAAGCAATTTTTCAGTGTAATAACATTGCTATATGTTATTACAATGAACTCATGTTTGACACATATATTTTATTGATATTGTAACCTAGGTCCATGATCAATCATGTCGTCTACATCATTGTAACACATGAATTAGTGATACCAAATGATGGGGTGGCAATTCAAACCATTAAACCCGATAACAGTAGATATCCGTCCGAATGAAATAGATTTGGAGATAAAAATCGGGTATATTTTGAATATGATGAAAAACTATGAATATCATTCTGTTATGGTTTTGGATATGGTATAAGAGTTTCCGATCCATATATTTGTCACCAAATACGACCCGAATATTATATTGTATGTAACATAATTTGTATAAAATATAATAGTAATATATATATATATATATATTATTTATATTCATTATTCGTGGAACCCTTTATCTTGGGAATACAAAAGTTGCATTCTGGAAGTTTCATTTTGTGAGAAAGTTCAAAGTTTTGAATCAAAATCAATGAGAATTCAATGATACTTATGAGAGATATAGAAGATTAGCCAACATCATCAATGCTTTATATTCAATACTTTAATAATTATACCCTACAAGATCCGTTCATTAAATCATTTCACATAAAATGTTCCAAGTTTATTTTCTCTCTTCAAGAGTCTCACAAACAAGAAATTGGTGAATATTTAATGACAAAATTAGTCGCTACAAAATTATAGTGCGTCAACTGAACTAATATATTTTTGTATTGACGAAGATAGATATAACCCTTAACTGATGGGAAATCTATTACCCCGTGAGCATGGTTATGGATGATCTCCAATGGTTAATAAATTTGCGGTTATAAATATGATTAATTTTCGTGGTTATGAGAGTAGCCATTGGACCAAGAATTTACAGAAACATTTGGAACATTTCATTTCTGAGCACACATTTCCGTCTCTGTACCGGCCAAAAGGCTCATGAGCCCCACCATGCTAAAAATTGGAGAACCGGCCAAAGGGTTGGCCAAGAGCAACCAGTCTTATAACCCACCCCAAATAGATGCAACCTGACATCATGTTATTGCTGGATTTTTTTAGACGAAATTTTTTTCCTATAAATACCTAAGTCATTTCTACCACATTTCTCACATCATTTTCACCATTTCATACTATCTTACTTCATTTTATTTCAATTCTTTACCAATATTTCACATCCTTTTCATTATATAAAGATAAGAAATCCAGATGCTTATTAATTTAGCGACAAGTGGCACTCAAAATATGTCTAAACCCTTATTTTAATATGGTAGTTTAGTTCAATTAACCATATTAATTCAATTAAAATAATAAATTATTAAGGAAACTGAAAAATAGCCCCTTCGGTTGGAGATGGATTTTTTTGCCTAAAGACTATGTTTTGGTCTATAACTCTTTGACCTCCTCAGTTGGATATGATATAAAATATAGTATGACACTGTTCATTAGAAAATAATTTTTTGCAAGACTATAGAGCTAAACATGACCCTTTAGCCCTCCTGTGATGGCCTCAAATGCTTCACTAGCTGCTATGATGGGGGAGTTAAAGGTCTTTGCAGAGTATCATATGGGCAAATTCAAATGCTTCACCACCTGCTATGCTTCTTCAGTTGGGTCAGATGTCATCCTCCAAAAGAAGTTGCTTGTAGTTATAGCTACGAATTTTGGTCTATTAGAATCTGAAATATAAAAAATAAACTGGAGCGTGTAAAAATGGGTAGAAATCATTTCTCTACTTAATATTGCTAGAAAGAAGTGCAAAGTATTCGTCTGAAAGCATTTTATTAATTTCTCAAGTGGAGATCATAACTCAAGATTGCTAGAACGACAACTTCTTGAAGAAGTGCGACCTATTTTCTGCACAGATACACTTTTATACATTTTATTTAATACATTTTCCACCCTCAAGCCTTCTAATGTGAGACTTGAGTAGTTTTATTTTTTTTAGAAATAAGAACTTGGTTTAATTATGCTGGCTGGTAGTTCTTGGCCTTCTCCGCCTCACGCTTCCTCAACGATGATGAACTCGGCCTATCTCCGCCGGATCCAGAATACAGATCTACAACTTCAATCTGCAGAATACCCAAAAAATCAAGGCCTAAAAAAGAATATTTTTCAAAGAAATTGAAGTCTACATTTTTACGATTAGTATATCATAAAATGATAAGTTCACGGCAGCCAACTCAAACCTTAAGCTGCGGAAGGCCTTCCTCAGCTCTCTTCTTATTAACAGACAGTCCGCCGTCTAGCGTCTCCTTGCTGCCAGAAATCAAATCTACAAAATTAGCTAGGGAATAAATAACGCCTGCCAACAGTAAGACGGAGACCCGAAAATGCACATTATGCCGCCTTATAGACTTCAAGAGTGTAGCAAAGGCGAGCGTGATGAGGGTTGCATGTACATTTTTTTCGATAAACCGCTACTCGGGGACATTGTAACCGAATTGAAATGTTAACACAGATCAAAAGAAAAGGATGTGATCAATCTGCAACGAACCTGACAACAATTGCCTCCAGATTCTCATCAACTATTGCAGGGCCATAGGGATCCGTAATAGGTTGAACTTGCACTTCAAGCGACGGCGTGATAGACTGCAATTTTTGGCAAAAATTTGAGGACTAAGAGTGTCATTCCACGACATTAAACAAAACAAAAAACAAAATTTCTGAAAAAAATGAGAACAGATTAAAGACATGAAAGTAGTGAGTTTACTTTTATAGCTTTGTGAACTAAAGTTGAAAGGTTAATTACAATTACATTCCTTGAAATTCAACTCGAGCTTGTTTAACTCCTTCAAACTCAAATATTGCTAGTTGTTACCTTAACTCCGCTAAGATTCAACTCATCAACTCATGTCTCACTTTGTCCTTAATCTCAAAATCTATACATAAATTTTTCTTAACAAGGGGGTCAGATCGGTGCCACGTAAACAGTTTTGACAAACTTTAACGGCATAGCACAACTGAGCCACAAATTGAGTTTTAAGATGTTAAGTAAAAAGATTTGATGTTTTTAAGAGGTTAAGTAATGCTTGAGTTGAATTTCAGATGTATTGTTGTAAATAAGCATTTTTCTTTGACTATATTCTCTAACTACATCAAATGTTTATATCTTCTCATTCAACACTTAATTTCTACTTAAATCAAACCCAAAATCTCTTTTGTAAGTACATGTACATTAAATCCAATATAAATATTAAAAAATTCCAAGTACATACCTTGAGGTAATTTTCAACATTATTCATCCTTTCCTCAACGGGTTGTATCAACTCAGCAAACTGCCAAAATTAAAAAATAAATAATGGATACATTAAACACACTGAAAACAAATTATGATTAAGATTGGAATTAAACTGTAAATACATGAAATCACAGAAAAACTGAAGGATGATTAATATAAACCTGTTTGTTGGCCAACATAGGTCCGTCGCAAATTCCAACCACAACTCGATCCCTAGCCAAGTCCGTCGCGGCCTGGTTCCATTCCACCACCACCATTATTTTTCATCATCTCAAAATTCACAAACCCAAAAAGTGAAAACACAAACTAAAACGGAGAAGAGACCTTGAGAAAATATCGATGGCCGTTGTGTAAGCGGTCGAAGGTGCCGCCAAGAACCACGGCTCCATATGTATTCGGCGGAGAGAGCTTGTAATTCGCTGTAACATCAGAAGTCGCCATCTTCACTGCAGCAGCTCCTCAAGATAACTTGCATGCAAAAACCTTTAAGGGGTCAGCAACACTTACACCACTACTTTCCTCACGTCTCACTTCGACTAGGTTCGAAGTTAAATAAAATACCTACGATAATATAGAGCCAGTTTCAAAACTGCGCATGTTTAAGCGAAATCACAAGCAGATAGAAGTGGAAAACTGAAAAAAAAAATTTCCAGAAGGATGCATGCATGATAACCAACCAATATAACGAGCAGTTGAGCCCATACTCATATATATATAAACACTGTCAAACAAACAAATTCACAAGATCTACAATCTTCAGAATAGTTATAAACAGCTTAGGAAGTGATTAAACGATTATGGTTATGATGTTTGCACGATGAAAGGGAGGAATAAGGACTTTCCTCGCTCCTTATTGAGGATTAGGAGAGAGCATCTTTCAACAACAAAAGGTTATCAAATGTGCAAACCAAGAAAACCCAAGAACAATTTCAAAAATACCATTTTACTAATACAGTTTTTTCCCTTGTGTATTTATAAAGGTGAAGTGTGGACTTAGAGTGCTAATACATTTTCAACAGTAAACATTTCCAATTCACAGTTGGAATGAATGTAAACATTGAATCATAAACAAAAAAATCACGGTAAAAATATACAATAGAACACGAAAAAAATACCTGGATCCCGAAGCTATAGCAAGACTCTAGGTTACCCTAAACCCTTATATGGGAGCAGAGTCGGCAACAAGTGGTGAGTGGGCAGATGATGTGTCACATGGCTAGAAATGCAGACATGATGAGATGACACATACCAAGTGGCAAAGTCTCAATTGGATTTGTATCGGTGTTCGGCCATGCATATCCCTTGAAGGCACACCATCTAGAATTGTGTAGGGTGAAAAATGGGTTATTTGAAACCTTGAGAAAAGGAAATAACAAAGACCAACAGAAAAAATTGTGACATCTCAAGTACCAATTAGACCTAGGTTCTGTTCAATCCTGCAAAATAAAAAATATATTATCTAAAAGGAGATTCCAACTTTGGAAATTTTCTACTAATAAAAAGAGAGAGTATACAGATTCAAAATATTAAACAGGTTGACTCAACCTCGCTGACCCGTTTAAAATCAGCCCATCAAAGATTCGGTCCGTTCTCAAGCTGGACCACTTAGTACTGAGACGACTTTATATAAATACAAGAGATTCTATTTATAAACACGAGTTCTAAATGTAAACAAAATCACTCTATAAATATCTAATTATAAATAATAATAAAATCAGGGTCTTACATAGCAAACGATATTAAATGCATTACCTTGTTTGGTAAGCACATTACAGAACCCCTGGCCTTGGATCCTTTGTTTATGCTCTTCCCGTGTCATGGGAGAACATATGGATATGGATATGGACATTGAGTTCTGAAACTTTTACGGAGACCCAAAAAAAAAAAAAAGCAGACATTTTATTGACATTTACTGCACTGAGGACTCAGTTAAAACCTTAGATATGTTCCTATTGATAAAACACCAGCAGTAAATCAAACAACACAATCTGCATTTGCAGATTTTTACATAAGAAACGGTCTAACTTTGAAGAGTGTATGCTGGGGGAATGTCCCGAAGTGATCCACATGCGTTGATAAGCCGAAATTGAAGGACGTTACCATTTCACTCATCTTCTTCGCTCTGCAACGAACAGCTCAATTGACTTATGGATTACTGCACGATCTCCAGTCTTCGAACGGGACAGATTGCACTTGCATAGTTTCACGTACACTTTTCGGTAAATAACAACTTATGATAGCGGTTGGTTCTTGGCCTTCTCCGCCTCAAGCTTCCTTAATGATGTTGAACTAAGCTTATCTCCACTAGATCCTTCGGACACTAGATCTACAACTTCAATCTGCACGAAACAGACTAAATTGAGGCCTAACCGCCACAAAGGTTTTCAAAGTAATAGAAAATAGTCTACTTTTAATATGTTAATGTCAGGAAGATATCGAATTTGCAGCAACCAACTACCTTAAGCTGTGAGAGACCTCGGTCAACTCTCTTCTTATTAACAGACAGTCCCCCCGGTAAAGTCTCCTTGCTGCCAGAAATTAAATCTACATAATTAGTGAAGAAATACCTCTATCAACATTTTAAGAGGGAGACTCGATATTTTAAACGTAAACCGAATCTTTCCAATTCAAAGCAGGCAGACAAGTTTTGAATTTTAAAGCGGGTGATGATCTACAATTCATGGTCACATGAATTTGTCCTTAAAACCTACCGACCTCAAGACTGAAGCAAAGACCAAAAGAAAAAGATGTAAATCTGCAACAAACCTGACAACAATTGCCTCTAAATTCTCATCGACTATTGAGGGACCATAGGGGTCCGTAATAGGTTCAACTTGCACTACCAGCCCCTGCTCGATAGACTGCAAATATTCGTAAGAAACTGAGAACTGAAATTATCATTATAGAACATAAGAGAACTACGCATTTTCTACGACACAACAACGGCGCAGGAAAACAACACAGAAATTATTGAATGCATTATCCTCCTGAGATAGCAGGGTTGATGGTCCATAAATACCGCCACGCAGTCTAATTTCTGTAACCTTTACCAAAATTGAAATACTAGCAAATGTCACCCTGAAAATTGAGATATAAAGAGATGAAAGCGGTACGGACATACATACGGTGGCCAAACACATGAACCTGTTCAAACCCACAACAACAGCTACAACAGAATGAGCTGCATTGCAACTTATTCTTAATTGTGTTGGATAAAATGTTAAAAAAACATAAAAATAGAACATTCCGATACTTTTTTTTATTAAGGATTGAGAAGAAAGTTTTTCCAAGTGAACTATAACACCGTATGTTCCTTTGAGTATTTGAAATCCTCCCTACTTTCCAAATTTTATGCTTCCGAAAGGTCATCAAACCATTTCTATCTCTTCTTGCAATACACACCAATTGAATCGCAATACAAACAAATTCATGGAGCATAATACCTTGATGTAATTCTCAACACTATTGCTCCTTTCCTCAATGGGTTGTATCAAATCAGCAAACTGCCATATTCGGAACATAAACCGCAACATTAACATCGAAATCTACCTTATCAAGACAATAGTTAAAATTTTAAAGCCTTTCGGGAAAATCAATGCTAACACCAACTAAACCACTTCGAATTAATCCACAAAATTCGTAAAATATGAATGAATGATGGATGAAAGCTAAGAACCTGCTTGTTAGTCAACATGGGTCCGTCGCAAATTCCGACCACAATCCGATCCCTTGCCAGCTCCGCCGCCGCCTGCTTCCATTTCCGTCAAACCATTAATCTTAAAATTCACATGCAAGAAGTATATATAAAGGAAAAGATGAAGAAACATACCTTGAGAAACAGGCGATGACCGTTGTGTAATCGGTCGAAGGTGCCGCCGAGAACGACGGCTCCGTATGTATTGGGCGGAGAGAGCTTGGAGCTCACCAGCGAATCCTCCAAAACCGCCATTTTTTACGCGCGACTCCGAACAGCAGAAGCAAAAGTCTCTCTTTCCGTATCTCTTATTTTTTAGGATCCTTTTTTTCAGAAAAGGCCTGAAAGCGTTGGTGTTTTTGGTTGTCGGCTAGGAACATAAAGAACCTGGACATCTTGCCTATGTATGTGCCGGGTCGGGTTTTCAAATTTTGGTTAGTAGGGCCAGTGTTCTTAGCTCCTTGAGCTGCTGGTGATTTTTATTTTTTAACAAACGATATTATCTACCTAAAGGGGAGAAAGTGAGTTTAGTCTTATAATAAGCTAACAATAATATGGTTCAAATTCGACTTTAGCTCGAATCTAAGACCTCTCACTTACAAGTAAAAAAAATATCACTAAACCATAGTATTAAGTAACAGCTACAGAAGAATTTGAATACAATAATTACAGAAACAGTTAATTGAAAACATGACCTCGGTAGCGCTCATTTATTGGCATCTATAGTGCCCCAACCTTACATCAATAAATCGGTAGCAAACGGTTGAATCATCATTCCAAATTTACTTCTAGTCTACTACGTAGACATGAGTTAAATTAGTTGTTTGTGCTAGTGCGCATGCCTCCTTGACCCAATCGGATCATTTTACTCGTAAATTGAGTAGATAATAATATCGGGTTGTAAAAAATATATCTACTACTCTAACAATGCAAGCATGAAGAACCGGTAAGATCTGCAAAGTTCAAAAGAAGCATTAGATATCTTTCATTCCAATAAGGACATTTGAGTTCTTTAAACAAGCTCTCTATTTCCCATCGGTAGCTAAACACAGTATGTTAGACTGTCCTTCCAGCCTAGCAGATCTTTGCTGTGAACTAATAGACTGCAAAATTATTGGCATTTGCTCCATTAGAACTGAACACATACCTTTATAACCTCGGACGTGTTCCTATAGACAACACACCAGCCGATGTTTAAATAGAATGACTTCTACACAACAATCTGCATTTGCAGGTTTACACAATCTGCATTTGCAGAGTTTACATCGTCTTGACTGTAGTTAAACAATCTTTCAAGAAACCTGTCGAGCTCTGAAGAGTATATGTCGGGGAAATTCCTGAAGTGATCCACATGAGGTGTTGTGCCGAAATTGAAGGACCGTACAATTCTACCCTTCCTCTTTTGCTCAGCCATGAACGCCTCAATTGACTGGTGTGGAACGACTTTATCAGCAGTACTGTATAGGTAAAGCTGTGGGCAATCAGGACTGTTTTCCGAAAGAATAGAAACTACCTTCGTTAACCTCCTGCACGAAAACAATACCAAAGTCAATCATCTACCTTTTAATTGCAAAGTTCTGCCCATTTTCTTGAAGATCAAGTTATATATCATCTATGATTTACAAGCACTTAAATCAAAAACAAGCATTGCTTACTTATCCACATCAGGAAACTTTAGAAGAACTGAAAACAGCTTCCCTAATATCAGTAAAACCACGGCTTCAACTAGTGGAGGCTTCTCTTCTTGCAGCTTTGACAAGCTTGCTGCATCTTCCGACTCATTTAATTCTCCAGCCTCAATTGCAGCGCTTGTTAAAGAGCTGCGTTTTTTCAAAATCGCAGCAGAAAATCCCGATGCCCACACCTGTTAAGGTTAGAGAAGGTTATCATTTGCACACAGCACCATAAATGCAAAGCACAACGATGCCCTTCTGAATCCGTAACATATAGCTCAAGTTGAACTCACATTGATGTATAACCATAAAACAAAAACAAATATATAAAACCAACATATTTGAAATATTTGGCGAATTAGATTCAAAAACATTCCTCAGATTACATTGCAGATTCAATCAAAATGCAGAGAAACCAAAGCGAATTTGCATTGCAGGGTGCTTTGTTGCATTCTAATAAGCAGTAAGTCATTTCAGATTCCAAAAAATAGGTAATCCAATCAAAAGCAGATCCTAAATTCAATCTAAGCAAACAAATCCATCCAATTAAACCATGTCAAAAAACAGTTCTTATGTTATTCGACAGCAATCAATTGATACTTAAAAATCCGATTAAACCATGTCAAAAAAACCTTAGGATTAAAAGGTTCAGCTGCTCCTGAATCAACCACACACCCTTTAATCTTCTCCCTCAGGTCTTGCCTCCTCTGCAGAATTTCAAGAATGGCACCATACCTGCAACAAACTAACTGCCATAAGCAACCTCTGAAAACCTGAAATTGGCAACCCATGAAAGCAGGAACACAAAGCAATCACATTCAAACAAAGAGTACCTACACAAACCAACCCGTATTGCTGAAAGTGTGAAAAAGCAAAGACCTTTCTCCGCCATCCTCCACCCACGAAGCCAGCTCCCAGGCCAAGTCTGAAACCCGATTTTCGACCCGGCGGCCCAAATCAAACCAGAGCACCTCTCTCGGAGCAACGACGAAGGTCACCGCGTGAATGCCTCTGGAGTTGTACCATTCCACGTACCTCTTCAGATGCTTCGTCTTGGCGCCGAGCCAGCCGAGCAACACCACTCTCACTTCACGGCTGTGGGTCCCGAAAGAACCCACATTTCCGTCAATGTCACCGTGGAACGCCCGATCCGAGGTGGAAACGTCGTCGTTTGAGGGTGAGAGAGAGTGGTTGAAGCTGCTGAACGGCGACTGGGAGGAGAGAGAAAGGGGGAGGGATTTGAAGGGGTTCGGATTGAAGCAGAACGAGGAGTGCGACTGCGCGAGCGAAAGAGAAAAGGGGGTTCTTTTGCCGACGCCGTTTGGAGCGAGAGTGTGAAATATAAGCGACGAATTTGCGGGCCGACGGAGTTTTGGGGAGAAAGCGAAGGTGGACGGCGTCGTTCTGGCAAAGAGCTGGCGATTGAGACTGAGAATTCTCGCCGGAGCTTCCATGGAGCAAATGAAAATTTTCGGTTGGAGCAGTTGGGTTGTAGACGAAGAGGAAGAGCGCACGACCGTGATCACCTAGAGATTATCAAACAAAACGACATCGTATATCCGAGGACGAGAAACGACAGACCGTATAATCATGCGGGATCTCCTCCCTCCACGACGCATAACATACACCAACCACAGAAAAGTCGAGAACTTTCCCATTTTACACCCAAAGATTTGAGAGGGTATTCACAGCCATTGCGATGTCGTCGTCCGTACTGCCTTCAGCGAGAACAGAGCTCTTCAACCCAATTCATGAAACCAGGTTCAATGGCCTCACAAGACCATTTAATTGCAACAGTAAGCTCATCCACTCTATCTTTGCATTTAATTTACTAAAGTTTCGATTTTACTGACGTGGGTTAGGCTAGTTGGCTAGTGAGCCCGCCTTGTGCGGCCAAGTTTTAACTTAGCGTAGATTAGAGTTGTTTAGAATTTCGGAAAATGAAAAGTTTCAAATTTCTTTTTCTGGGTACTGACTAGTGTGTGTTGCATTTACTTGGAAGGAAGCAAATGTGTGATGAACAGGAGGAGTTTTGCTTTCAGAGGAGTTGCAGCTGCAGGACTCTCAGTCATGGGTTCTTCGTTGACTGCTCAGCCAGTTCAAGGTTAATCTCTTTACTTACCATCTTAGTTCATAATCTCTTTGCAAATTTTCCTGCTTTTAGGCAAAAGGGTTTTGGATTATGTGGGATTTTATTTTATTTTACTCTGTAGGTGTTGAAAGACTGGAATTTAAGCCGGAGGGGTACAATTTTTGGACATGGAGGGGTCACAAAATCCATTATGTGGTACAAGGAGAAGGGCCTCCTGTTGTTCTTATTCATGGTTTTGGTGCTTCTGCGTTTCACTGGAGGTTTGCTACTTTGTGCCCATCGCCTTCTATTTTTCCCTTCAGTGTTTATGAGAGTTTACATTTACTTGCGTATGCATTGGCAATGGCATAGTTGTTCGCAAATTCCTATAAGCTCCGTGGCAGAGAAAATCTAAACTGAGAGTGAGAGGTTTTGAAATCTGATCAAGTGCGAAATTTCAAGAAACTGAGGCTGATTTCCTTTTTGTTTCTTTTGCTTTTGTGATTAAAACCCAGTTGTTGTCGGCATGCCTTGGTGGTTTTGGGTTTCTTTTAACCCTTCGATTTCAAGTTTCCTATGTGAACTTTTATATGAAGTAAACATTCATGCTTCTGGTGGCTGTAAGTTTAGCATACTTTTAAAGTTGGTAAGAGTTTTTTTTGCTCTCCGTGTTACAGGTACAATATTCCAGAGTTGGCTAAAAAATATAAGGTTTACGCTATAGACTTGCTGGGGTTCGGGTGGAGTGAGAAAGCACTTATTGATTATGATGCCATGGTTTGGAGAGATCAAGTGGAGGATTTCTTAAAAGAGATAGTGAAAGAACCGACAGTTTTAGTTGGAAACAGGTAATCTAAACTTTAATTAGTTACTTATGGAATCTGTAATATTTCATGTATAACATTACATAACTTAAGGTTTGTAAAATGTGGAAGATTGTGTTTTCTAAACATCAAACAGTGTTTCTACAGGCATAAACCTTGAGTTGAGGTCTTTTTAACTTTTTCAATTAAGAGGGATAATTTTCTTTGAGTTGATCATTGCAAACGGAAATTGTGTGTATCTCATGTTTTCTCTTCAGATGGCTTTTGAGATAATGACTATTTGACTCGCTGTAAATTTTCAGCCTCGGAGGTTTTACTGCTTTGGTTGCAGCAGCTGGGTTGCCTGAGCAAGTAGTTGGAGTTGCACTTCTGAATTCTGCGGGACAGTTTGGAAATCCTAATAGTGTAGCCAAGGAGTCTGAGGAGGAAACAGCCCTGCAGAAGTTCATCCTAAAGCCTCTGAAGGAAGTGTTCCAGCGAGTGGTACTTGGATTTCTGTTCTGGCAAGCAAAGCAACCAGCACGTGTTGAATCCGTCTTAAAGAGCGTAAGTTACTTTCTAAAGCTTCTCCGTGAAGTCTGAGTGTAAGGTCAACCTTGATATTCCAATCATTATACAATAGTCTCCCAAATTCGTAACAAAATCTTACTACGATATGTTTTAAATACTTAATTTTGCTGGCGCAGGTGTATAAAAACACTGCCAATGTGGATGACTATCTGGTGGAGTCCATAATAATGCCAGCCGCTGACCCAAACGCTGGAGAAGTGTATTACAGGTATGTGTAGATCTGTTCTATAATAAAGATCCCCTGAAAACGAGTGACGTAGATTAGTGATATCTTGAAGATTTGGTCATGAAAATTGATGTCTGATTCGTTAGTAAGTATGACGTTTCTTGATTGTTTTGTGCAGATTGATGACCCGGTTCATGACAAACCAGACCAAGTACACTCTGGACAGCGTCTTAAGCAAGATGTCTTGCCCACTGTTGTTGGTCTGGGGTGACTTGGATCCGTGGGTAGGTCCTGCCAAGGCTAACAGCATCAAAGCGTTTTATCCGAACACAACTTTGGTAAATCTGCAGGCCGGGCACTGTCCACACGATGAAGTTCCAGAGCTTGTCAATACGGCTTTATTAGATTGGTTATCAACTTCGCCACTCAAAGCCTCTCTCCAAACAGTCTGAACGAATAGAAATCTGTTCATGTTTGATATGAGGAGCATACTTGCAATACGAATGTACAATTGTAAATTCATTTATCAAATTACTACTTAATGTCAGCTTTCCTTCGTGTTCGTTTCTGAGCTTTTGAGTTCACAGAAGAATTTCTCCGTTGCATAAAAGAGTTTTGAAGCTTCTTTTGGTGGAAGAGGAAAACAATGAGAGAGTGATAAGTTCTGTGCATTGCTTGAGCTACAAGCAAGAAGCTTTTTAAACTGCTTAAAGAGTTCCAACGACTTCCATGTACCCATAAAACCCTACTTAATTCCTCAACAGAGTAAGAGAAACCAGAGAATACATTGACTTGTAGCTCAAGAAAATACATTGACTATAACACGACGTACATTTATTAACATTATATCTTAAAAGTATAAACTCGTCGTCCATTCATGCTATAACACATACATAACAGTGTTATTGTTCATTTAGTAGTAGACAAGGTGACAACTTGTTATGCAGACGAGACTCCTAAGGCTTCAGACGACGAGACGTGAACATAATAATATTGACAAATCACCACCTTGTTTGTCAAACTGTAATTTGTTTGCGACGTGTAATAAGATACCAGTGACATATTATCTGCTAATATGAATCCTATTTCCAAAGAATCCAAACGAACTTCCATTGCAGATGACAGCCTCTGGACATATGCCGATATAGCCGCCATGCCGATGCCGCGAAGTTATTCCATTCAAATTTCCCTATCCTTGTCGGTACGCTGTAACCTTCCAGTCCGATAAAACAGAGACAAGATAAAGACAAAAACATGAGCTTAGAAATTAAAGAAAGCAAGGTTTATTTGTCTCTCTGTTCTTATTACAGCTGTAAACTTTACACTCGGAGCATAACATCGACATAGTTAACATCATCAATGTCTTCTGTTCTTTGTAAGCATCGGATTTTCCTCCTCACTTCCTTCAGATACCCTTTTCCTTGTTCTTCTCATTGTCTCCTTCGTTACATTAAATTTATGTAATTCGCTTCTCGAATTTCTTCTCCTTCTAAATCAACCCTTTGATGCCTGCCTTGGTGTTCAATTGGGTTTTTTGTAAGCTCGTGGTGCTCAAATTAGCAGTCGTTTAGGGGGCTTCGCTGGTGATCCGCGCTGTTTTCCCTCTCGCTGATGCCTTACTGGCCAAGCCTGGCCACTTCATCTGAAAGTTAAGAAACCTTGCAAGAACTTGTAAGGAGTTGAGTCACTTTCTAACCATTACATCAACTTGGTTAGTTAAAAATGGAGAATAATTGGTCAAGGCCCAGTAGGAATTCTCTGACGCCGGTGAAGCAAGGAAGAGTGGATATGAGCCATCTTATGCCGAGACAGACATCCCAGATAGCCCTTGGCACGGCGGAAACAAATGGCCAAGTGGAGAATGGCAGTCTGAAGGGGCAAAACCTGAGTTGTATTTAGGAAGAACGATCAGCCCTTTGAAGCAGAGCAGGAGATCTTCGAGGCTTGAATACGACGGCCCTACTCCAAGAACTACCTCCGTGGTAAGTCCGGTTCGAAGAAGAACCAGCAGCAAGTCGCCCTACAAGCCTAGAAGAGATGACAGCAATGCTCGAACTTTGCCAATGGCGGGTTCTGATATTCATAGGAACATCAGCCCCTTGGGAAAGTCCGAGCGCAGGAGACACGTTTCACCTTTTCAAACAGACCGAGAAGAGCGCAATATGAACAACGATGGTGATGAGATTGTAGGCTCAAACAGAAACCAACAACATCAGCGAAGGAACAGCAGAAGATCAACAGCTGCTCCGCAGCATAGATCACCGAGAGAAACTAACCAGCAGAGGAATCGTTCGATCACGCCTACGAAAGGGGAGAGGACTCCATCCCCGTTATCCAAAAGCATGGCTCATCAGAAGCAAGGGCAAGTGAGCACGCCGTCTGTTGGCGAAATTAACGAAATGCTTGCCCATGCAAAGCTTGCTAGAACTTCTCCAAACTCGATGTTGAATAACAAAGCTGCTCCGGTTTACGAAAGCTCGGATTCTATTGCAGCAGGTGATATCTTCTTCTCTAGAGAGTGCGATGTCATGGCATTGCCTGGAAATCACTTACAAAATCCGAAAGTGGTTTCCTCTGCTGCCTCTCAACAGAGAAGTACCACTCGATCAAACAGTAACTTTGATCAGGATGTGAACGTCCACGGATTTTTGTCCCCGTATGGTCTGTCACAGACAACCACCACCACTTCCAGCTCTGCGGTGAGCAGGCAGAGCAGTGGGAAGCTGAGCATGGCTAGCAGCAAGACGAGTGATGCAAGCAGGACGACAACAGCTAGCATGAGGAAGTTCACGGACAACAGGAGGAAGAGCGAAAGTCAGGCGTGGTTTTCGTGTATGAGAAAGAGTTCTTGCAAGAACAAAAAATTATCACCTGAGCATAGCGCGTTCAATGAAGCTGCATTCATCGAGAAAGCGTACGTGGTGGAAAGTCTCAGGCAGTTATGGGCTGATAAGCATCGCCCTAGTTCGTTGAACGGATTCACTTGCCACAAACAAGAAGCTCAAGTTCTCAAGCAACTTGTGAGTAATTTTCTGATTAAGTATGCGCAGACAGAACTGATAACAAAGTTCCAGTTGAAAATAAAACTGCAAGACACTAAACAGACAATACAGCCGTTTATTGTATTGGCGTCCCTCCGGTTTTGTTTTTTGTTTTATAACAAGTTTCATTTGTGCGTATTTCACCCATTTTGATCGTTTGTTCTGCGTATTTTTTCTAGCTGCATACGCAAATACGTAACATCTGCAGGCCTTGTGCATGTTTGTTTTCGGTTTCCTTCATGCTTTCTTACTCATGCTCTGTTGAATATGTAGGTGATTGATAACGCCCGTCCCCATATTTTGCTTACTGGACCAACTGGTTCTGGGAAGAAAGCTCTAACAATGGCGTATCTACGGGAAATATACGGCGATGCGAGCTGGGAAGTATGTTTCTTTACATCAAATACAATAAAGTTCGAATCTTTTTCCTTGAAGATGGATTAAAATGACCTGTTTTTGGTTTTTTTACTTTTGTTTTCCTCTCTGCAGATATCTCATGATTTAAGATATTTCCGGGTTCAGGTATTCTGTTGTGAATTAGACAATTGAGATATTGAAATAATGCTTTACGTTTTGTGAAATGCTCATAATGTTCTTACAGTTAAACAAGTCGTTTCTTCTTACTTAGAAATTACATGCTGACACATATGCGAAAATAACTTACCGAAAGCACAAAAGAAAAAACTTATGTGCATGTGTCAAACTGTGATTCATCTGTACGGGTGAACGAGCGTTTTCCAATCTCTCTTACATAACCCAATGGTGACAGGAACAAAGGCCAATGCAAGTAGTGGTTCCATTGACATCCAGTCCTCACCATGTAGAACTCAATGTACAACTGGAACCAAATGCCAGATATGCCCTAATGGGTTTAGTCAAGGAAATAAACAATAACAACGAAATTGCTCATGAAGTCAGCTCTATAAATTCCAAGGCAAATCATAGAGGTCAAAATTCTCTCAACACCCACAAATCCCTTCCAACACTTTTGAACTATTTCTCTCAAAACCCCAACATGTTTTTCCTTTTTGTTCCAGTGATGGTTCTGTACGGTGTTGACAAAGCAACAGCGCACATTCAGCATTTGATCAAATGGATCATGGACTGTTACTCGGAATCGTGGAAGCTCATACTCTGCTGCCAAAATGACACCCGCGTCATTGAATCGGTGAAAAACCGGTGCATGGTCATCAAGGTTGATGCTCCTGCGACTCATGAAGTAAGTATTACATGGACCGTAGAGTTCCTGAGATGTTATTTTAATTTTACCTTAAACTAATATAAACTGCGGAGAGGGAGATTCAAACTCGGGTGCATGGAGAAAACACAACCGTTTTCAGCCAACGTGGTTTTCTCTTTGCCAGATTATGGAAGTTCTTATTCAGATAGCCAGCAAGGAGGACTTTGACCTACCTATGAGCTTTGCTAGTAAGATTGCAAATGAATCAAAGCAGAATCTGAGAGAAGCAATCATGGGTCTTGAAGCATGCAAAGCACACAAGTGAGAACATATGCCAATACAATTGTTGGGAATTTTGAGTTTATTGTAAAGTCAACTTACAAAGAGCTTTGCCCATGCAGCTATCCTTTTGAAGATGAACAACCAATTCCACTTGGATGGGAAGAGGTGCTGCTTGAACTCGCTTCAGAAATCCTAGCCGATCCGTCACCCAAGAGGTAATCATTGTAATCATTTTATTGGCATCTGGTGAATGACTGTGAGAGAGGTAATCATTTTATTGGCATCCGTTGAATGATGTGAATCTCAAAGTCATTCACCGACGTGAAACCCACGAGAGTTGTCACACCTAACTCAGTTACACCGTTCATCTAACAGCATCCCACTATGCTTGAATTGATTTTCCGCATTAATCTTTTGCCAGATTATTTTTCATCCGGGGAAAGTTTCAAAAGCTTCTTATAGATTTTGTCCATCCGAAACTGATTCTACTGGTACTGCATCAATACCTCAAATTTGTTCATATCTAGTTAGTCACCAAAGTATAATTTTGTGATGGAGTTCGCATTTTCCGAAATGCAGAAGCTCGTGGAACAGTTCCTAAAGGGAGTAGCATCTAGTTCTAAGAGGGAACTCTATTACTGGCATGCTTACTACGTAAGTTCTCTCCCTCATTTCTTCTTTCGCTCTCAGAGATGGATGATAAACTGACTCAAATCTTGTCCTCGCAGGAGAAAAGACTCCCCGCAGGGGCGAGTGCATTACTGAAACTAGAAGGTAACATATGCAAACCACTAAAATTCTGCATCCAATTATATAAGCATTCAATAATTTGGCACAAATCCACTTCTGTAGTAAGCTTACAGGTTAATCATGCACTTTTTATGCAGAATTTGTGGCCAAGTTCATGAGCATACACCGGAAGAGTTCCAACCACCGGGAGTACGTGTAGTTTATATGCCCTCGTTGAGAGTTGATCATTACTTTCCGCCTATGTATATGTTTTTTTCAAAATTGTGTTACTGCAGTCTAATACTCAGAAAAAAAAAAGAGAACGAGACAGAGACAAACAGCCCTGAAGTTTTTTTCCTAGGTTCAAGATGATCATTAAGGTTTAGATATAGTACAAAGGCATGATTATCTTTGTTTTAGACAAAAAGGAATAAAACAAGTTTACACATTCTCAGTTCGGTCTTTACGTCTATCTTTTAAAATGAACAATGAAAAGCCTGTGAACAATATTTTAGTACGAAAAGAGCGTAAACACACCCATCTGAACATGGAACATCTTCTCATGCTTTACTTGCAACAAATACACTGAACAATATAACATAGACTGCTGTTAGCTGTGTCTTCAACAATGTATATTTTAATTTGCTAGGCAATGTTTTCAAGAAAAATGAGTGCAACTTGAACTCTGATTAACTATTAGGGCATCTACTTCTAAACTAGAGTCTAACACATGTTCAAATATAGTGAGCGAACAGTACCTTCAAACATACTTAAAAGCCCAAATTTATCATTTTGCTTTCACTCAAGGTTCTTCAAATCAGCAGCATTTGATTTCAGATTTGTAGAAAAGCCGCTCCCATTCAGACTACTTTTTTCCAGTGTATCGCTGCATAAACAGACGGAGATAGTATATAATTAGTTTCCATTCATGATAAGGAATGACTCACCGACCTACATATGAGGGCCTACAACAAAGATGGGGAGAAAGAATGAGAATCTGTTTACTCACCCTCTTCCCGATATCAAATGGAACATATTTGTATTTGATCATGTGTAGGATCTGCCGTTTCATTGTGAGGACAAACAGAACAATCCAGTAGCATAGCAGTATTGGCCAGAAAACAGGTACATCCAGCAGAGAAATAAAGGTCATGATGAATGCAACAACAAATGCCTTTGTGATGGAATACCTGAAAAACAATGAACACATTCATTTTCCATGATAATAAAAACTTCGTTATCAATACAACATCAGTACATTAAAACTCCTCGAGATTTTAAAGAAGTGTGATATTAATATTAGAGACAATTCAACTTCCTTGCTGCTCTTCATTTTGTGAGGTGAGCCAGTTTAGTCACGAAACTAGGTATTGAACCAGTCCACTGGTATAATTCCAATACACATGAATCAGATGGGAGCACGAAATCTGAAATTCACTTACTGATTTATGTTAACTGATACACCATGGGATAAACACCCAGTTGACTCGGTTATTCAAGCATTCAATAACTTCTATACCCAAATTCCTATAAACTGTGCTGATACTTCAACAGCAAAACCATCCTTTAGTAGTTAAGAACTACTCCCGTCATTATTCAAAAACAGTTTTCTACCACTAGAGTAAAACCCATGAAAACCCTTCTGCAAAGCAGGAAATATATGGCTTTCATACATTTCTACGTAAGTTGAACCAACTACACAAAGGAAAAATAGCATGCGGACATAACTAGATGACACTTGAAGCATTTAGTACAACTACAAGATACATTCACACATCCTTTAACATACACAGCATATGGAAAGGGAGTTTTCCATCAAAACAAGAATAACCCCGAACATAAGAAATCACACTGAACCACGCAACACTATTGTCTTAACACCATCACTGCACATAAGAAGCAAAAGGATGAAAGAAATTTACCAGAACTTAAACTCGGGAAGGCGGCGAACAAAAGGCTTAAACTCATCAGAACCACTTGTTGGCAATGAAGGCCCATCCACGGACTCAAGCTCCGGGTCAACCTTCGGCGAGAAGAAACCAATCAAGAGATTCAAGACGTAGATCCCCAGGCCATAGGAGACAACATAGAACCCCTGAACATAGTACACACGCAGAATGTAAATCATAGCCAAAACTAGGGTTCCAAGCCATCTATTCACAGTGTGAGGCGTTGATCGATCCAAATAGTACTGGAATGCTCTCGCAAAATCGCTCCGCCATTGGGCTAGTGGCGCCGCCGCTGCTCCGCCCTCACTTCCAATTCCCTCCATCAAATCCGGATTCTACCAAAAAATTGCAACAAAAATGATTGCTTTTTCACTTTTAGAAACTGACTTTTGTTTGCTCAACATAGAACATCAGAATTGAGAAAAAATGTATGAATCGAAATTTTCTATCGCCATTTTCTCGGTAAACACACAGGAAGCTATAGATTGTTCTTGTGCATAAAGGAGTGAACGAATTGAATAAATTAACTGCGGACTAAGCTAAATCAAGCAAAAAAGAATGTAGGATCAGCGAGAGAGAAAATTACCTGGCGAGGGAGTTAGGGTTTCGTGAAGCGGATGGATTTACGACTCTTGCCGCTCCACGATTGGCTCTCGTGATCTCTTTTGTTCATAAAGCTCTGGGAGACGGGGATGGTGAAGGTTCTTACCCGCCCTAGCTTCGAGAGCAGGCCTAATAACGGGCCGGGTCAAACAGGCAATTCACGCAATTGGCTTTCAAAATATCGAATTCATTTTTTTCCCTTTCTTTCCAAGGGTATTGCAGGTAGTACAGCATGTGTTTTTATAGAAGTGGTAAGAAATTTTTTTTCTTTAAGTTATTAACTTTTTAACACACATATCCCACCATTTGTATAATGACATATATTATACCACTATATACCGATCACACTGAAAAATCTCTCTAAAAGAGCAAACAACAACAACAAGGCATTTTCCCACTAAGTGGGGTCGGCTATATGAATCCTAGAACGCCATTGCGCTCGGTTTTGTGTTATGTCCTCCGTTAGATCCAAGTACTCTAAGTCTTTTCTTAGAGTCTCTTCCAAAGTTTTCCTAGGTCTTCCTCTACCTCTTCGGCCCTGGACCTTTGTTCTGTAGTCGCATTTTCTAACTGGAGCTTCAGTAGGCCTTCTTTGTACATGTCCAAACCACTGTAACCAATTTTCTCTCATCTTTCCTTCAATTTCGGCTACTCCTACTTTACCTCGGATATCCTCATTCCTAATCTTATCATTTCTCGTGTGCCCACACATCTAACGAAGCATCCTCATCTCCACTACACCCATTTTATGTATGTGTTGATGCTTCATCGCCCAACATTTCGTGCCATACAACATCGCCAGCCTTATTGTCGTCCTATAAAAATTTTCCTTGAGCTTCAGTGGCATACGGCGGTCACACAACACGCCGAATGCACTCTTCCACTTCATCTATCCAGCTTGTATTCTATGGTTGAGGTCTCCATCTAATTCTCTATTCTTTTGCAAGATAGATCCTAGGTAGTGAAAATGGTCGCTCTTTGGGACTTCCTGATCTCCGATCCTCACCCCTAACTCATTTTGGCCTCCATTTGCACTAAACTTGCACTCCATATATTTTGTCTTTGATGGGCTTAGGCGAAGACCTTTAGATTCCAACACTTCTCTCCAAGGGTTAAGCTTCGCATTTACCCCTTCATGAGTTTCATCTATCAACACTATATCGTCTGCGAAAAGCATACACCAAGGAATATCATCTTGAATATGTCCCGTTAACTTATCCATTACCAATGCAAAAAGGTAAGGACTTAAGGATGAGCCTTGATGTAACCCTACAATTAGGAGGAAGCTTTCAGTTTGTCCTTCATGAGTTCTTACAGCAGTTTTTGTTCCATCATACATATCTTTTATAGCTTGGATATATGTTACTCGTACTCTTTTCTTCTCTGAAATCCTCCAAATGATGTCTCTTGGGACCCTATCATACACTTTTTCTAAATCTATAAAGACCATGTGTAAATCATTTTTCCTATCTCTATATCTTTCCATCAATCTTCGTAAGAGATAGATTACCTCCATGATTGAGCGCCCTGGCATGAATCCGATTTGGTTGTCTGAAACCCGTGTCTCTTGCCTCAATCTATGCTCAATGACTCTCTCCCAAAGCTTCATTGTATGACTCATTAGCTGAATACCCCTATAGTTCATGCAATTTTGTACGTCACCCTTATTCTTGTAGATAAACACCAGAGTGCTTTTTCGCCACTCATTTGGCATCTTCTTCGTTTTCAAAATCCTATTAAAAAGGTCTGCGAGCCATGCTATACCCGTCTCTCCCAAGACTTTCCACACTTTGATCAATATATCATCTGGGCCTACTGCTTTTCTATGCTTCATCTTTTTCAAAGTTACAACCACTTCTTCCTTCCTGATTCGGCGGTAAAATGAGTAGTTTCTATACTCTTCTGAGTTACTCAACTCCCCCAAAGAAGTACTCCTTTCATATCCTTCCTTGAAAAGATTATGAAAATAACCTCTCCATCTGTCTTTGACCACGTTCTCTGTAGCAAGAACATTTCCATCCTCATCCTTGTTGCACCTCACTTGGTTTAGGTCCCTTGTCTTCTTTTCCCTTGCTCTAGCTAGTTTATAGATATTCAACTCTCCTTCTTTGGTATCTAGTCGCTTATACATATCGTCATAAGCCACTAGCTTAGCTTCTCTCACAGCTTTCTTCGCCTTATGCTTCGCTATTCTATACCTTTCACCATTTTCATCGGTCCTATCCTTGTATAAGGCTTTACAACATTCCTTCTTAGCCTTCACCTTTGTTTGTACCTCCTCATTCCACCACCAAGATTCCTTTGGTGTGGAGCAAAGCCCTTGGACTCTTCTAATACCTTTTTTGCTACTTTTCGGATACAACTAGCCATGGAATCCCACCTTTGGCTAGCTTCCCTCTCTCTATCCCATACGCATTGGGTGATTACTTTCTCTTTGAAAATGGCTTGTTTTTCTCCTTTTAGATTTCACCATCTAGTCCTTTGGCACTTCAAGTCTTGTTCTTTTTTCTCTCTTTTGATATGTACATCCATCACCAACAAGCAATGTTGATTAGCCAAGCTCTCTCCTAGTATAACTTTGCAATCCTTACAAGTTATATGATCCCCTTTCCTTATTAGAAGAAATCTATTTGTGTTTTTGACGACCCACTCTTGTAGGTTATCACATGTTCTTCTCTCTTCTTAAAGAAGGTGTTGGCTAAAAAAAGATCCTATGCCATTGCAAAATCCAAGATGGCTTCCCCATCCTCATTTTTCTCCCCAAAACCATGGCCACCATGAAAACCTCCATAGTTGCATGTCTTCTTTCCCACGTGTCCATTTAAATCTCCTCGTATAAATACCTTCTCCGTCTGAGCAATTCCTTGCACCAAGTCTCCAAGATCTTCCCAAAATTTCTCCTCTAAAAGAGCAAACGCTCTTAAAAATTTGAGCTACAAGGTCTGTACAAAAATATGGAATTTATCAATACTCAACATTTAACGTCATAGTACTGAAATGTCATTCTTTTTCTTTCAAAATAATTAAGGCTAGTGTCATAAAAAAATGGTCTACCACTTGAACTAATAGCTCTTATGCGGACTAAGAATAATCAAGTGCGGACTCATAAATTTTCATAGAGACGTGCATTATTTATTATTATGTCGGTGGAGACAGGCTTGTGGCTTAAGGAACTCGGAACCGGATCTCCTTCGGATCCAAAGGAACTGAGCCCAAGAATCAAATGATCTGGATCATTAAAATTTAATCAAACGGCTATAATTATTATAACTTTTAGAGGAGCTCCCTGTTTGTAGTCGTGGATCAAATTTTAGTGGTCCATTATTATAACTTTTAGAGGAGCTCCCTGTTTGTAGTCGTGGATCAAATTTTAGTGGTCCGAATCATTTGATGAGTGGGCTTAGTTCCTTTAGGTCTAGAGGGGATCCGATTCCAAGGAAATCATCAGGCTAAAAGGCTATTTTTTATTAGGGATTTGGGTCTCATCCGATTCAAATTATGGGGATCCTAGAGATCCTCACATCTTAGTTATTCATCATGCGGTCAGAAATCATTTGACATTTTTTATTAAAATTGAACATAAATAGTACTTGACGAAAACTCCTACATCTTAGCCAGTTCATCGTACATTGTGCGATTAGTTTTTGTCAGGTAATATTTGTGTTTAATTTTAAATTAAAAAAATCAAATAATTTTTAACCGCACAATGTACGATGAATGGTTAACATGTGAGAATCTCTAGAATACCCACAATTTAAATTTGGATGGGATCCAAATCCTTGTGGTGGGTTAGCTTCTGAGCCTATTAATAATCAAGTGCAGCCCTACTTCCTTGAGTATAACAAAAATGATAACTCATTAATGACTAAAACAATGTCCATAACATTTGACATTAAGCATATTGTGAGACTAAGCACTTTAGTGTAGATAATATTATTTCGTTCAAAACAATTTAAAAAAAAAAATTAAGACAATCACTATTGGTCACAAATATGCAGTCGGTACTTGCACTATTCTTTTTGTGGCATCAAAACGTGCTAGTTTCTCATGAAATTGTAGGCATTTCACGTATGTATCTCTCTACAACATGTGTTTTAATTCGCCCATGGAAACCAACTCCATGTGAACTTTCTATGGTCATGCCAAAAATGGAAGCATGATCTGAGAAAAGCAATCATGGATCTTGACCCTTTGAAGCATGCAAAGCACACGAGTGAACATACTGCAAAAACGAAGATTTTTTATGGTGTTTCAGTATCGATACTCCAGACTTTTTAACTGTTAGTTCTTTACTTCAAACACAAAAATACATGGAGCTTGACCCTATACAAGCAGCTATGCTTTTGGCGAAGAACACCCGATTCCACTTGGATTGGAAGAGGTGCTGTTTGAACTTGCTTCAGAAGTCCTAGCTGATCCATCACCTAAGATGTAATAATTTCATTGACATGTGTTGATTGATATGAATCTCATAGTATTGACAAATGTGAAATCCGCGACGGATTCCACATCTAACTCTGTTACACCGTTCATCTAACGGCATCCCACAATATTTGAATTGATTTTCCGTATTAATCTTTTGTCAGGTTATTTTTCATCCAGGGAAAGTTCAAAAGTTTGAAAATTTGTGTTCATATCTACTTAATCGCCAAAGTATATTTGTCTGACAGAGTTTGCATTTTCCGAAATGCAGAAGCTCATGGAACAGTTCCTCAAGGGAGTAGATGCTAGTTCTAAGTGGAACTCTATTACTGGCATGCTTGTTTATTAAGCTCTCTACCTCGTACCTTCTTTCTGCTCTGGGAGAAGACGAACTGAATCAAATGTTGTCCGTGCAGGAGAAAAAGCTCCCGGAAGGAGTGCGTTACTGAAACTAGAAGGTAACATATGCAAGCCATCAAAATCCTTCATCCACTCTTGTAGTAGTTTACTGGTATATAAATAAGTAGGGATCGTTCTTAAACCGGAGATTAGGAGGGATTGCTAAACACTTTAAACTGACTCAAATAAATAAAACTAAACTTTAAAACACTTAACTCAACTTAAAAGACTCAAAACAAGTTCACAAGACTCAAACTAAAAACACTCAAAACTGTCTAAAAACACAAACTGGGCAGATTTGACTCTAAACACAAAATTGGACGAATTTTGGTTTTAACTTGACTCAAATCACTTGAAAACACAATCTAAAACAGATTTTAACTAGTTAGACACTCTAAACTAAAGGGGATTTGGTTTTGGACGAAAATAAACTAAAACAAAACAAGACTTTAAACTAGGCAGATTTGCACGAATTTGGTGAAATTAGATGGATGATGGGCTAGCTAGGAGGTCTTTCTCCACACATGACATATTTGCATACAAAACAATCTCGAGTTGCTTTTTCAATGAATCATGAACCTCAACACCCCAAATTAATTAGGTACGCTTAAATTAACCCTCAGATTTTCTTAAGTCATTGAATTGAATGGAATTAGCGCATTGCAATCAAATTATTCCTCAAAAGTTCTCTACATGAAAGCGCATAATAGAGAAACAATCAAACATCATTAAATTCTATGAAAATCATAAGTGTTGACGAGGCATTCGCAACTATGAAAGCGCATGATACTTATGCCAAGAATTTACTTAACATGATTGTGACTAGCAACATTTACTACTTATGAATATAAGTTCACAACGATTAGGTGAAGCTTCCTTATATCCTAGCATCAGATTTATGCATGCAGATTAAGTGTGCACTCTCAATCCATATACGTAAACAAGTTTTAATTCAAATAGATACGTAAATTGAATTCACAATTCATGAAATCACAACTGGAAGTAATCAAATCATAATGCAAATATAGTCATGGTTTCGAAATTCCCCCTAGCCAAAAGGGGATTAGTTCCTCATACTCACAAAGCAAAGATTCTTGAAATTAAACATTGAAAAATACAAGAAAGATTACACCTAAAACGTTCCAGCAATTCCAAGTCGAATGGCATGCACGTCTAAGGGCTCTCCTCCTTCTTCCTTGCTGCGGCACTTGGTGTGGGTGGTGGTTTTGGGGGTTATGAACGATGTATTCTTCCTTAGGATGATGAATGATGGCTGATTAGGGTGGAAGGGTGCGGCAGATTGTGGATGGAAGTGTATGGAGTGAATGAATGATGGAGAATGGGGTCTAAGGCTTGCGGCAAGGTGTTTTCTGAATAGCATGAGGGTTCCTTCGAATTTGTGGCTGAAAATATCTATATATAGTCCTAGGGTTAATTAGATTAGGGCTACAACTTGGCAGATTTTATGAATTAGGACCCTAGGGTTCGGCACAAGTAACTTAAATCCACTTAGGAGAGGGTTTGGCCCAATTAATTTCAGAAAAGGATTTGTATAACCCAAATCCACAAGGAATAAGGCCTAACAAATAAGAATCCAAAAGGAAAAAGGTTTAGGATATTCGTCCAAAATTGGGCCTTCTAGAAACTAGGTGTTTTGTGGCTGATTTTGGATTTTCTAGAAGAGATAAAAGGGGGACGGGTGTGGCACCCTTTTAGGGTCAAATAAGGCTTCTAGAAATCATGTTTTTAGGTCCACTTGCAGCTAGGATTAAGGTGGAACAAGATTAGTTTAGGATAAGACAAGAAGAGTTCCAACAACCGCCAGTACGTGTAGTTTATATGCCCCTGTTGAGAGTTGATCGTTACTTTCCGCCTATGCATGGGTGTTTATCAAGATTGTGTTACTGCAGTCTACTACTGGGAAAATCAGAACGAACCAAAGACAAATGACCCTGAAGCTTTAGATATAAAATCACGTGTTCTCTTGTTTACGCTAAAAGAAACAGCGTACTCATTCTCAGTTTAGTCATATGAGTGTGTCTTTTAACATGAGAGTCTAGCACATGTACAAATATACTGAATCAACATTACCTTCAAAACATACTTAAGAACCCAAATTTATCATTTTGCTTTAGCACAAGGTTCTACAAATCAGCACCATTTTAGTTTTTGGATTTGTTGATAAACCGCTCCCATTCAGACTCTACTTCTTTCCAGAGTACCGCTGTCAAAAACAAATGGAGACGGTATAATAATTAGTTTACATTCATGGTAAGGAATGAATGACCTACAATGAGGGCCAACCACAAAGATGAGGAGAAAGCATGAGAATATGTTGACTCACCCTCTTTCCGATATCAAACGGGACATATTTGTATTTGATCATGTGTAGGATTTGTCGTTTCATTGTGAGGACAAACAGAACAATCCAGTAGCATAGCAGTATTGGCCAGAAAACAGGTACATCCAGCAGAGAAATAAAGGTCATGATGAATGCAATAACAAATGCCTTTGTGATGGAATACCTGAAAAACATCGAACAATTTCGTTTATTAGGGAAAATAAAGGATCAAAATCAATACAACATCAGTGCATTAAACTCTCCAAGATTTTTCTAAACAATTGTATGTAAAGAATAAGAGACAATTCGGCTTCGTAATTCCTAAATGCTTTTCATTTTGTGAGCCGAACCATTTTAGTCATGAAGCCTAGAAAATCTAGCATACCAGACAGTAGACACCCATATGCAAGAACTTCTCACATAAGTCAAGGTATTGGACCCTAATTACCGGGCACATGAATAAGGTGGCAACATGAAATTTAAAATTCATTTCTTGATTATAACTCCTACAACCTGATGGCTGCAAACCAATAAGCAATATCGACTAGGACACCACTTCAACAGTAGAACCATCCTTCAGTAGTTAAGAACTACTTCCATCATTATTCAAAGTCAAAACGGATTTCTACGATTAGAGTGAAAAGCATTAAAACCCTTCTCTAAAGAGGGAATGTTTACATACATTTCTAAGTAAGTTGAACTAAATACACAGGGAAAATAGCAGACTGATTGTTTGTTAATCAAGAAGTTCCCCCCATCCCTGGCATTATTGGAAGACACTTGAAGCATTTACACATCCTTTAACATACAGAACATATGGAAAGGGGTTTTTCATAAAAATAGGGAAAGAAGTTTCCCCCTACCTGAAAATAAGAAACCATAGTCTCGAGAACAGACACGTGAAGCATTTACCTACTACAAGCTACATTCACACATCCTTTAACATTCACAACATATGGAAAGGGGGTTTTCCATCAAAATGAACCCGGAACATAAGAAATCACACCGAACCACGCAATACTAGTGTTAATACCATCACTGCACATATGAAGCAAAGCTGCAAAAGGATGAAAGTAATTTACCAGAACTTAAACTCAGGAAGGCGGCGGACAAAAGGCTTAAACTCATCAGAACCACTTGTTGGCAATGAAGGGCCACCATCCAAGGACTCAAGCTCCGGGTCAACCTTCGGGGAGAAGAAACCGATCAAGAGATTTAAGATGTAGATCCCCAGACCATAGGAGACAACATAGAACCCTTGAACATAGTACACACGCAGAATGTAAATCATTGCCACAGCTAGGGTTCCTAGCCACCTATTCACAGTGTGAGGCGTTGACCGATCCAAATAGTACTGGAATGCTCTCGCAAAATCGCTCCGCCATTGGGCCAGTGGCGCCGCCGCTGCTCCGCCCTCACTTCCAAGTCCCTCCATCAAGTTTGGATTCTACCCGAAAGATAAATATCAGCAAAAATTACTGTCTTTTCGTTTTTAGAAGCTGACCTAATAATAAATCTACTTGATTTGTTTGCTCAAGTTAGCATAAATGATCTAAAAAATGTACGAATCGAAATTTTCTCTCTCATTTTCTCGGGAAACAAACAGGGGATACAGATTTGTTCTTGTGCATAAATCAGTGAACGAATTAAATTAAGTGCTGAGGTTTAAGCTAAATCAAGCAAAAATGAATGTAGGATCAGCGAGAGATAAAATTACCTGGTGATTGAGTTAGGGTTTCGAGAAGTGGACGAAACTTGGAAGACGATGAATTTACGACTGTTGCCTCTCCACGATTGGCTCTCGTCGTCTGTTGATTCGTAATTCGTAGAGCTCTGGGGAACTGCGATGGCGTTGGATTTGACCCGTGTCCAGCACCGTGAGTAGGCTTATAACATTAACAGGCCGGGTCAATGAGGCCCAGGCTCATGTATAGGGCTTTGAAAATATCGAATTTGAACACGAGATTTCGAGTAAATAAGTCTACGCTCCTAAAAACTTGAGCTACAAGATCTTTACAAACTATTGAATTCATAAGTACTCAACATTTAACATCATAGTACTTAACTGTCATTCTTTTTATTTCACATAAGAATTGAACTTTGGTCCTAAATATTGCTCTATCATGAAAACTAATCGTTCTTTTTTTTTAACAAACGATATTATCTACACTAAAGGAATGGAGTTGGCTTAGCCTTACAATGGACTAGCAATAATGTGGTTCAAACTAGTATTTGACAAGAATTGAACCTAAACTAATCGCTCTTATATGCACTAAATTAAGTATAATCAAGGGCGGACTCATAGATTAAGGTAGAGAAGTGCATTATTATCTTATACATTATATTTTGGGTGACTGACTGACTTGTGTCTCATCAAGTTGATAGGCTATGTTTTATTAGGTCATCTCCAACTAAAGGGGCTATGTTTAGCCCTTGTCCAGATTATAGCCCTGTAAAACAATTATTTTTTAAGGAACACTATCATGCCATATTTATATATCATCTCCAACCGAATGAGACTATTTTTTAGCCCCTCATTAATTTGTTATTTTGAAGTTTGTTCTTTAACTTTATTGATTAATTGAATTAAACTATCATATTTATAAATGAGTAAATCTCCATATTTCTTATCTTTATGTAATCTTTATAATTTTTCGGAATGATATGTTTGTTTTGCTTCCAAAAAAAAATTTTAATTTTTTGGATAGGAGTTTAAAGAATGAGAAGAATTGAAATAAAATGAGGTAAGATGGTATGGAATGGTGAAAAAGATGTGAGAAATTGTGTAGAAATGGCTTAGATGTTTATAGGAAAAACATAGATTTTAAATTTCATCTAAAAAAAATATAATCTAATGACTAGCTGACATCAGCTAGCATGTGGGTTGCTGATAGCTGGGCCCAACTTTTCAGGCTGGCTGGCTAGCTTCAATTGTCCAGCCCGATGGACATAGGCTGGAGTTTGGCCCAGTGGGTCCCTTTTTTCTTTGGCATGGACCTCCATTGGAGATGGTTTTTTCCTCATTTTAGGCTATAAAAGAGCCTATGGCCCTATGACATGATAAATTGGAGATGGTGTTGATCTGAGCCTACTAATGGTTGATCTGGGAAATGTAATGTTTATGTTGGAATCATGATGTTGCCCAATTTCCACCACTTGTCTTATGTACTCTGCCCTAATCTTCTTTCGATTTTTTGCCTCTCTATAAGAGCTACATTGAAGCATAAACATCTGTAAAACTCATCATTGTTAGCAAAAGACATAAAAGTAATATCATTCGCTCTTACGTAGATCGGCCAGCGTAGTTGGCCTTACTTCCTCCTTAAGTACAACAATGACTCTTAGTCACAAATATGGAAATGGAAATATGGTGGATCAAGTTAGGCACTTGCACTATTCTTTTGTGGCATCAAAAAGTGCTATTGTCTCATGGAATTGTGACATTTCATGCAATAATGTCTTTACCACATGTGCCTTAATTCGCCCATGGAAACCAACTCCTTATGAATTTTAATGGTCATGCCAAAAATGAGGAAATCTCCAATTTCGGCTTGTTTTCGAGTATAATCAAGTCGTCTTTTCTTTATTTGTTCTTGTTTTTATATGTCATCATGTATAGTTGCCCCCTTGATGTTGAAAGAAATTCCAGTTGTGTTATTAACAGATCTGTTTCTGCCTTATCTGCCATGTTTTTGACTCTCTGAAACTAACTGTTTCTGTGTAATTGATCAGTGGGTGAAATATGATTTGTTCAAGAAGATTATGTGGTTATGTTGTTTTTTTCTTCCTTCTTTCTGTTTTGAAGGTTAGTGTAAAGGGTGAACATGGCTGACAATGATGGAGAAGGGAGTGGAAAGGATTCGGGGTTACCTCACCCTAAGCTCAATGAAAGAATCCTTTCTTCATTGTCAAGGAGATCGGTTGCTGCTCATCCCTGGCATGACTTAGAGATTGGTAAAATTTGTTGGCTTTTTGACTCGTAATCTTAGTTTCTGTCTTATTTTTTGTTCCTGAGCGTTTCCTTATGTCAGCAAAGTTAGAGACCCTAATTCTTTATGTACAGAGGATACTTGGACTCGCATGTAACAACATGTGAGAAAGTGAGGTGCCATGTGTTATAGGTGTTACTTGTGTGTGTGTGTGTGTGTGTGTGTGTGAGCTGAGAGAAGCTTAGAGTTCGTTGTGTGTGTGTGAGTATTGCACTTCATTGTGTTGTGCGTGCGCGTGCGTGTGTGTGTGTGTGAAAGACTCGTATTCAAGAGTTCCATGTATAATTTGACCTAAACTTTACATGTTTGGTTAATAATGCCTGATGTTTTCGTCTATGCAGGACCTGGTGCACCAGCAGTTTTCAACTGTGTGAGTCATTGTTTCTAACTTTCTTTTAGTCTTTTTATTGTTCTGATCTTTTAGCAAAAGGACCCTTTAACAAATCCAACATGCAAGTTATGGATGTGTTGCATATGGTCGCCGTGGATGAGTTAAAACCTTTCAGAATAAGATCGTGGAATGCTTCTATCAGTGGACAAAATATGCTGTTACACCAGTTACATAAGAATCCAAGTGATAATTTCTGTGGCAGGTTGTTGAAATTGGCAAAGGCAGCAAGATTAAGCATAAGCTCGACAAGAAAAGTGGCCTTATAGTAGTAAGACTCTTCTTCTTCTTTCCAAATGATAAGCTGTTGCCTCTTTAGTTAACCATGCTTATTCATTACAGTTAGAGAAATTTAAACATGGGCCCTGTATATTTACCGTTGTTTGGTAGACATTGTTATCATAGTGTTTGCTAGGGTATTGGCATCTATTGTGAAATTGATGCCTTTCATGGAGGACACTAATGCATGAGGCTCTTTAACGCAGGTGGACCGAGTGCTTTATTCATCGGTTGTTTATCCACACAACTATGGTTTCATCCCACGAACAATCTGTGATGATAGCGATCCTATGGATGTCCTGGTACTGATGCAGGTAATGTCATGTGGACACATAATCCACTTAACTTTTGGAAATAGATATGATCTTGACATCAATCTTGAGGGGAATTCAGGGTTTTAAATCTAGATCAATGCATTTAAAGAACTTAATGTAACAACAGATTGAATCGTTTATTCTTTGTATCGTTTCCCCTCATAACGATCTGATTTCATACATCCAGAAGTGGGTGTAGCTATCGATAACATGAGTTCTATTGCAGGGTGAAAAGGATGACAAGATTATTGCAGTATGTGCTGATGACCCTGAGTACCGCCATTACACTGACATCAAGGGGATTCCTCCACATCGCCTTGCAGAAATTCGTCGGTTCTTTGAGGATTGCATCCTATTACTACATTGCGTGCATTCCATTAAATTGAAGCGGTTGGGAGTCGTGTGACTCCACAGTTATGAATTACCTCAAGTAGATACTTAATCTATTAAAAAACTTTGTTCGTCTCGTTGCAATATGAGCTGGTTTTTGCTGTATGCCCTTAGCTCTTACGCCCTGATAGACAAAAAGAATGAGAACAAGGAAGTTGTTGTTGAAGACTTTCTACCTGCTGAGGCTGCCATCGAGGCCATCAGATACTCCATGTGAGATAAACTTTAGTTCCTTTCTTTTCACGGTCGCCTATGATTATTGCAAATAGAATGTAAAATTTTCATTGTTATTGTTTTCTTAAAATAAAATCTTGTGTGCAAGAACCTGTATGCATCTTACATCGTGGAAGAGCTTGAGGCAGTAGGCTAACTTGTAGGCTTCATAATTAGCAAAATGGCTGGAACGATTTATTACTGTAGTGAGACCCGTAAACTACTTGTTGAATACGAAATTATCGCGCTTTATCTCTGAATTTTAAATGATTGGTCTTATGTGGTACTTATGATTGTATATCTCTTCTGTGTGTTGAATAATGTTTTGTGGATGGTAGATTTTGTCATCGGATGATTTCATGCAACTTTGGATGCAAAGATTTACCTTTTCAAGTGATTGAATCTAAAAATTTGAGTTGTATTTGCTTTTACAGTATTTTTAGTGCATGAAAAGGAAGTAAAATGTTTTGGCATTAGGGTACAAAACCAAGAGAGCTAAACATGTATTGCTAAATTGGACAAGCATATCGGGCAACTGATTTGTAGCTCGGTTGGTCAAAAAGCATTCGCCCTTGAACCGATGTCTCATGTTTGAATTTCCCTCTTCATAATTGGATGAGTTTAGTGTAGATTATTTTCATTGTTTGTCACAAAAAAGAATCACAAGCCTTGATCCTCAAATCTGGTTCCATGCTCAAATACTCGACCTTACCATTGTCAACCCCGGCATGAGCATCCTACCAATTTCTCTCATGAACTTGAATTACATTACTGATTTTATCATGATAAAAAGAATTAAAGAGCTCGTTTTCCCTCTTTCTACGTGGTATACATATAACTGAAAGATCACATTACAATAATGTAGGGAAGCTGTAGTCAATAACCACCAAAACAAGATCCAGGCAGGTGACTAAACGGCGCGCATTGGTTCCGAGTGAGCGAGTCCAGTAACCTCCTTCGCTGGCCAACATTTCCAACCCACTTGTCAGCAGCGCCGCTCTCCTCCTCAAACCTCTCAAATTCTCAAATGCTTTGCTCCACCACCCACAGCTGAGACCGCGACTGAACCCAGTACGCGCCGTCCCATACACCAGCCCCTGCAAATTCACGCTTGTCGACAAACCCTCCAATCTCCGACGACGATGGGGACCCTTGGCAGAGCAATCTACACCGTCGGATTCTGGATCCGCGAGACCGGCCAAGCCATTGACCGCCTCGGTTCCCGCCTCCAAGGCAACTACTACTTCCAAGAACAGCGTACGCCCCCAATTCTTCTCCTTCATCTCTCAATTCCTTCAAACCCTAACTCACAATTTGCACACAAATTGCACAATCCTGAGTCTGTGGCTTTGTTTATTGAATGTCGAATTGAATTTCGAGATGTGCGGTGGTTGAATTTTGCGTGATTTTGTTTCGATTGTTGTGATTAGTATCGCGGCATCGGACGCTGATGAACGTGTTTGACAAAGCTCCTGTGGTCGATAAGGAGGCGTTTGTGGCGCCCAGTGCATCGATCATAGGCCAAGTTCAGGTGGGCCGAGGCTCCTCCATTTGGTACGGTTGCGTTTTGAGAGGTAAGCATTTCAGTGAATTTTGATCACTATATTTTAATCTTGTTGTTACCAAAGTTTGATTTGGATCATATTAGCTCCTAAAGTAGGGTAATTTTGGTTTGAGAATCCAGTTCTGTGAAAAAGTAAGCCAATTTGTTGTTGGGAGTAGAAGCGTAATCCCAAAGATGTTGTATTTACCTGATTGTTGTTTTCGGGTGTGAAGGTGATGCTAACAGCGTCAGCATTGGGTCTGGGACCAACATTCAAGACAATTCCCTTGTTCATGTGGCAAAATCTAACTTGACTGGCAAGGTTTTGCCTACCATTATCGGAGACAATGTTACTGTAGGTGAGTAATGTGTGATTGTGTTTCCGGTGATTTTAGCATGGTCTTGATGTGGGTTTAGTGTAAGGATCTAATTCTGGTGTCGTGGTTTTCGATTTGAACTGTGCAGGCCACAGTGCTGTCTTGCATGGATGTACTGTAGAGGATGAGGCATTTGTTGGTGTGGCTGCAACCTTGCTTGATGGGGTTTATGTTGAGAAACACGCCATGGTTGCTGCCGGAGCCCTTGTCAGGCAGAACACAAGGATCCCCTGTGGAGAGGTATGTCAAAACACCCTTTATTTGCGTGGAATGTGACAAGTCCGTACCCAGTTAAACTAGTTTCTTGATTGTTCAAACTGTTATTACAAAAAGCTCACAATAAGTTCATCCAAGTGACTCAGTGCGAGCTGACACCTTTTGGCTGAATGTAGCTCTTTTTGTTTATTAATTTTTAACGACCAACTTAAATTTTTCGAAGTGGTTGTTTACTGAATATTTTATATAACAGGTATGGGGAGGGAATCCAGCAAAGTTCCTGAGAAAGCTCACAGAAGATGAGATGGCCTTCATCTCCCAGTCAGCCTTAAATTATTCCAACTTGGCTCAGGTTCATGCAGCTGAAAATGCAAAGCCCCTCGACGAGATAGAGTTTCAGAAGGTTCTGCGAAAGAAGTTTGCACGCCGTGATGAGGAATATGACTCGATGTTGGGTGTCATTCGTGAGACACCGGCAGAGACTACTCTTCCTGATAACGCATCGCCACCTAGGGCTGCTTAAGAAAGTACGACTATTAACGATGTTGGTAATGGTACCACCTCTTTGAGATTTAGTGTAAGTGAGTGTTTTTGTTTATGTGCGGATTTATAGCGAATGGCTGCTTTACATTTCGAATAATTTTTGGGGCCGTCTGGAGTGTGAAGGTCAAGACTCAAAACACGAAGTATAGCATATGGCTCTGCTCGTTCTCTCTGATTGATGTGCAACTTCTCTTCTCTTCTCTTATGATATAAAGCAAGCGAAATCAGGCATCGAAACCTGCTGACACTTTTTTCACATCCTTTGATCGATTTAGTTGTGGACTTAATATGAATTATGAACGGGATTATTAAAAAAAATTAACAGTTTTGAAACTTCAATTTATAATAATTAGAAAATAGTTCTCATATTTAAGCCTTTAAGGTGTGCAATCGTACATTTTGTTTCATCACGCTTTCTTTTTTTTTTTTTTTTTTTGTGAGAAGGTTTCATCACGCTTTAAATCAATCAAAAGATCATTCAATCCATTTCGTTTGGGCGAGATGGAAAATGTGAGTCACTGGGGCCACGGATTTTGATTTCACGGATTTTTGGCAAAGTTAGATTTTCAAAAATAAACTAGAAAGTAGACGGTTTTAATTATCGAAACATTCTAGAACGAGGAAAAGAGCAGAGAAAATAGAATGAGAAGGTTAGACCGAGATTGTCGGCAGGATAGCCCAACAAACTAACAACCTTGGATCAGATTGTATGGATTTTGCAGTATTTCTCAACTTCTGTGGGCTGGACTATAAACCTGTAAACGGATCAGGTTTATTGGGTTTGAATCGGATTTAATCCAACCCGTTAAGTTAACGGGTTATCCGAACCCAATCCGTTAATTTAATAAGTCATCCATTTCACTCGTTAACCTTTGTTAACATTTTGTTTTTTTTTTGGCACCCCAATACACTTACACATGTTAACTACTGAAATTATGAACTTCACCTAATTGAAAAGGATTCCCAAGAGAGCAAGATCAGCGGCCATATTTAATGCAGAAAGCCATTCAATCTTGTAACCTCAGATCATAGTGAAAAAGTCCAGTAAAACAAAGAGCAAAACTTGCTGTTAAAACTCGCGCTCCTCCTCCTCCTCCCCAAAATCCAAAATCCACAGTTTCTGGGGTTTGAATTTGTTTATTAATTTACCAAATTACAATCGACTCCGCTCCCCAAATTCTAATTTATAATCTCGCCAAGCGATGTCGACTATCGTCGACAAAATGTTCGGTGACCTCCACATGATGCCGGAGCTCTGCAGAGAATGACTGAGCTTACCAACTTAGCCAAATGAGCAGAGTATATAATGCAGATAGAGGTGTTTGCTCAACAGTTTGGTGACCATGGTGCAACCAGCAACTAAGAGTTTATTTTTTGTTGTTAAGGCTTTACTGAAATTACTTAAACATCATCAACTAACGGGTGTTAACGGGTCTAGTGGGTTGACCCAAAATGACCCGTTATTTAACGGGTTCACCCGTTAACAACCCAACCCATTAAGTATCCATCCAAATACTAATATTAACGGGTCGGATCAAGTTAACAAGTCGGGTCCAAAATACCAGGTCTATTGGACTGGATAAAGAGCTATTATTTTTCTTTCTATTCTCAAAACTTGAAAGTTAAACCTGTCTATGCGTCATCAACTCAAAACTTTACTTCTCCAATCCAAAAAGATAATTAGTTGACAAGTAAGTCCAACTTAATCATCCTCATCATAAGTTTGAAATTTACTCATTTGGTTAAAAGTGTCTTCAGCCACTGTTCATGTCGAAATAAATTACAACGTAGAACAAACGTAAAGATCATAATTTACAATTTGAAATAAAAGTTAAGCACATCATGCTAGGGATTCGGGAACTTTAATACTTCAAAAGCATTTTATCCATTTCACGCTTTTGCAGGACCATCACTAGTCTCAAAATCTTAAGATGTATCACGGCAGTATCATCTCACTTTACAATTTGCTAGCAGACAAAAGGTAGGGACCGAAACTTAGACCTACTAGAATCCAACTTAAGAATACTATTAAAAAAGACTTCGATACCAACCAATGTATATCAAACTTGTGCTTTTTAATGTTTTCACAAGTCATTCTTCATGAATTGAGATTCTCTTCGGTGCTTTGCGTCCAGAGCAAATGGATCCGGAGATACAAACTACTCATTTTAAATTCTACACAGATTTTATTAACTTATTTCATTGGTCCACCTCATACAAACTAAAGGTCTGGATCTCTCTCTCCGCACTGCAAAATCCGGAGAGAGGATCTAAATTCATTCTTTCACTAGTTTGTTCGTGTAAGATGGTGGCATGCACTTTCTACTATTTATGTGCCACCCACTAAGTTAGGAATGGCAAGCAGTATGACTAACACGTCTTATCTAATTCAGATGTAGAGAGAGAGAGAGAGAGAGAGAGAGAGAGAGATTTATCCTATCCTAATCCTGTACTTGCGCTCTCCCCTCATGGAATAATTCCATAATTCCTGCTTTGTATACAAATATTATACAATATTTGACAGTAGGTGTAATATTCTGCATCGTTAAACAAAGCAAATGAATTCCATTTTTCAAGCACAAAAATGAAGACTTTGGTGCCTTTTCCATACGAAAGTGGCAAACACAAGGGCCCAGAAAAACCCCCTCTCTTCTTTTCTGGCAATTGGCATTGGCGTGCATGAGAGGCTTATGGGATACCCAACCTCACATTTCAAACATTTCAAACATTTCAACATTTCAACAAGGAAAGAGAAATACGTTGTCAGAAGCACTTGCCTTAAACTATTCAAACACATTCCCAAATTTCTTTCTTTTCAAATTTTTTTGAATTTTAAACATACAAAATTCATTACAAATTCAACTTGCTCGTAACCTACTGTTTTTTTTATTTTTTTATTTTTTTTTTTTTTTATTTTTTAAGTTCTTATATTATTAAGCAGAGGGGAGAGAAGAGAGTTCAAAAATATAATATTAGTAGAGGAGAGGGGAGAGTTTCGAACCCAGGATGGACGGATAGAAATCCAACACCATTCCACTAGGATATTGGACTAGCTCGTAATCTACTGGTTCTTGATATTGAATGAAGTCTCAAGTTTGAATTTTTATGTACGCACTAATTAAACAAAAATATTGAGCATATGAATCTCAAATTGGGTCACTTATCTATGACCAATTCATTTTAAAGTGAAACCTTAACTTTCTTCATATTATCAAGACATGTTACCTATGTATTGAGTCCAAGGTCTAGGTGATGCCTCGTTATCAATGCCTACGTCCTCTCACGTCATCCAATATGTATGTCCATATGGTTAATGGAGGATGCATATTGGGACTCAGTGATCCCAGGACCATCCAAGTCCTAAAAATATACATGGGAAGGTCTTTTGAGAACCTTCCGAATATTTGATATGAGTCATTTTTGTGCTTAAAAAGTGTTTGACGAAATGTTTCTTGCATGTTGCATCAAAAAAGCTCTTCAAATTTTTTCAATAGCACTTATCAAATTGTTTTGGCATATGTTAATATTTGTTGACATGAGCGCAACTTGATTCGATTGACAAAAAGTTAACCAAGCGTTCAACGAAATGTCTTAGTAAATAAACTCATTTTTTTAACACGCTTTGCGTTCTATTTCAATATAAAAAAGAGTGCTACTAGACTCGCCCCAATATCTTATTTTCCCACACACATGATAATCCCACCCACCATAAAAAAATTAAAATAGTAAAATGTTATTTTTCCACCCTCCATTATTTCCAAAATAACCCTAATATATTTTTTTAAATAACTCTATTATATCTTTAAATAATATTATAAATAAATAAATAAAAATAGAAAGAAATAAAAGAAGATGCAAGACCTAAGACTTGGACATTCATCATCTCCTTCACACCTATCACTACCCTGCAGAGACTCCGAATCCCTAAACTACTCTTCTTCCTCCTTTTTTGTCAAAACCGCAGATCTCATACCCAAGTCTCTTTTTCCTCCATTGAAGTTTCTCGCCTTCATCTAGCAGATGCTCATTCCTTCCTCCAAATTTTGCGTCGATTCTAACCCAAATCTTTTCCAACCTCTTTCCACCAAAGATATCACACCCCACCCACCATTATTTATTTATTATTTTAAATTATTTTTGTTTTTTCAAAATTTTAGTACTTAAGTAAATAGGGGTTTAAGAGTCTTCTTTTAAAAGGATAAATATGTTATTAACATTTTCATTAAATGGTGGGTGGGAAAATAAAATACCGGAGTGAGAATATCAGCACTCATAAAAAATTTAAACTTTTATCATTGGAATCTCAAGATTTGAATCCTGAATACACCACTACTTGTGACTCATGTGGAAAATAAAAAACTTTCCATATTTTGTAGTACTATAGTTAATTAGTTTTATGATAAAACATCTACTTTCTTAAATAAATATTTAAATTTTAAAATTTAAAATACACTCAATAGGCAACAAATCGTATATAAATTATAGCCGATTCTGTTTATGCATAGATGTTTGAATCTTTGAATGCAAAAAGAAAATAAATTAACTTTATCTATAGAAAAAGGAGAAGCCTAGTGCTTTATGCATTGGATTGGACTGTTTGACAGGCAATTTGGGAACAGGTGCCAAAGTAATATAAAGAAGAAGATACCATCCATAATCCATGTGTTTAGTTTAATTTAATAGCTGGATTACTTAATTACATTCCGATTCCCAGAACCTTGTTTTAATCCTTTTTTCTCAGTTTTTGTCCTGCTTTCAGACAAAGAGAGAGACACACAGTGTCTGTTGTTTCTTTTCCTTCTTTGGAATATGCAATGTCCTCAAAACAAGAAGCAAAATTACTAAACAAATTATGTCCAACAAGCTTTATAGACACGGTTTGCTTCAACAGTTGTTATTCTAAGTGAACGCCTGTTGACCGTTGACATATGAAACTTGTAAGTTATAACGCATCTTTCACATTCTATATCTTATGTGACGGTCGCATAATCATAAACCTAGGAGAGAAACGTTGTGCAATTATTTCTCCTACATGGGTGTTTGTCGTTGGAATTTCCCTTTATATGTGTTGCTTGTGCTTTACTTTCCTAAATTGGTTCCTCTTACTGTCACTTGCTTAATTGCTAGTGATAATTTAGTTGAATAAAGCTAGACACATCATATATGTTTCAG